AGATGTCGTTTCTGTCTCTCAGTATCTTGCTTCTTGTTGCAAATAGTTAAGAAATTCAGTTGTTTTTTTTTGTTCTTCCCAAGTCCTGTCAGTTTCTTGCTTATGACCCTAAGTGGTGAGTGAAACTCTCCCTGTCCCTGCCTCAGCCCACCAGGTGTTTAACAAAGGACTGACCCTCAGGCCTTCCTAAACCACGACACTACCTTTCTGACACCTGAGTCCCTTTCTTTTCTCTTGATTTTCGGAAGAGGCTTAAGGCCCCATTTAAGTCTGGGCGTATTTCTGAAAGGGAGGCTCACCCTCAGACAGTTCTTTCTGAGGGCACTGCAACTTTTCTTCTCTCTTTTTTGTCCCACAGGAGGATATCAGCATCACTTAACATAGCTAGCTGACCACAATCCCCCAAATTCTGCTTGATGAGCATCCATTGATTTACCCAGCTGTTCCCAAGCATTTTCAAGCTACGCTTCAATATCTTGTTCTTCTCAAGTTATAGTTCCCTGCGTGCTGATCTACATAAGTTCATCTGAAATGATACATACCACCCATTTGTTTAATTTCAGTGCCCACCTCATAGCACCTTGTAATGGAGTTCAGTTTGTGGCTAATTTTCTTTGTACCTCTGTCTTCATTCGCTTATCAGTATTCTGAGAGAGCTTAGGGATTTCCTAGTATCTGCAAAAATATTGAATCTACAATATATCATCTTCATTCATGCCTTTGGCAATATCCAGAAGTAAAGATGATTGTGGTTCTGTGAAACCCACATAAAAGTATTCTGTGAATTTAATACCTTGAATGGTATTAGATTGGCTCTTGTATCTTCTGAAGCTGCCAATTACTGATGCTTTCCATGTGTGCCTGGCTTTCCTTTCTTCACTCTTCAGTTTCATAGATATGACAAATATATTTCAAACCTACAATCAAAAATCATCTGAACTGCTAACTGTACAACAATAAAAATATCACCAACATCACGTAAATAAGAGCAGTAGTATTAACTGCATGGGGAAGTCCAATATTGTGGCATTTTTTGTTTGGCAACTATTTAGAAAAACTACTCATACGGAACAGTAAGCATGTATTAAAAAGCCTCTACTAAATCACACAAATGAGTCAGTCCAATGTACCACTTGTGACTCACAGATGATCTGCAGTGGCA